TACAAATAAATCAAGGTGGGATAAGTGCCATGAACAAAATAAAGCAGGGAAAGGGGGGAAAGAGGGCGATGGGAGCGGGCTGTCTATGCAGCGTGGTTGGGGAGCGGAGCCCTGTGGGAAGTGGGGGAGAGGGGCGGGTGGATGTCAGGGGAAGAGCATCCAGGCAGAGGGAAGAGCAAGTGCGAAGACCAGAGGCCCGCCCTCCCCTAGTGCTAGGGAGCTGCAGGGAGGCCAGCAGGAGCAGAGTGAAAGATGGCTCAACCTGAGCCCCTGCAGGGACACAGGTGCCTGTAGCTGAGAGGGAAAGAGCCAAGTCTGTGGGGCAGGTCAGGAGTTCAGGTTGGGAAAATCTCACCATCACCCATCAAGTGGTAATCACTAGCTCGAGAGTGCTTAGAGGGCTTAAGTAACTCACCCCAGGCCACCCAGGCAGTCACTTTCAGAGGGAGGATTCACACTCAGGTCCTTAGACTCTAACTTCGGTGCCATGGGCATTTCCTGTTTGGGCGCCTGGGGGAAGTCTGGAGATGTTAGAGTCTGGCAGTCCTGGTCCTCGACTCCAAGGCGCTTCTGAGCAGGGAGGAAAGAAGCAGTGGAGAGTGAGGCAGATACTCAGGAACGTGCAGTGCCAGAGACTTCCCAGGGCAGCGAGGAGCACGTGTTTACATGTGAAATGCAGACCAGAAACCCCGGGAGGGTGTAATTCTTTTGGAAAGAGTAAAAAGAGTGCAAGAGTCACAGCCCTGTGTAGGTGGAGGACACTGGAGACTGTGTGAACATTCTGACTGCTGAAGAAAGCCCAGAAGGTCGTACCTGGGCAAGTCTCTCTCTACAGGGTGTCCCAGAATTGGTACTTTCCCACTATGACAGATAAATATCTCCCCTGAACTGGTATACACCACCACAGCCTCCTCAATGTGCCATTAGTAGGTGCCTCTGACCATACCCCAAATGGAAGTTCTGATCTTCACCTCACCTCAAGCTTGCTCTACCTGCAACGGGATGCCAAGAAACCAATCCCAAAACAGGAATTCATGTGTCTGAAGTGACTTATTAAGGAAGTGCTCCCAGGAGGAACTGGAAAATGAGTGGGAAAAGCAGGATAAAGAAGAGAAGGAAGCCAAGCAGGGGTGTGATTGCAGGCCAAGTCCCAAAGAGGGTGGCTTCAGTTCCTGCAGGGGAACCCTGGAGTGTTAGTTACATCTCAGAGTTTGTCTGACTGGAGGGAAGGAAGCTGGGTGTCCAAACTCCTGCATCAGTTGGTCACTGCCTTCAGGCTGGGGAAGTAAACTCCTGGGCACTCCCTTGCAAGGGCAAAGGGACCAAAGAGAGTCACAGGCGCAGGCTGTTAGGAGCACCAGCACACAGAAGCCAAAGGAGGGAGCCAGGTCAGAAACTGTAAAAATGATCCCAGAGGATCTGAGCAGGGCCCGCTATACGTGCCTTCCCCATCTCTAGAAATGGCATTGCCATCCTACCTGTCACCAAAAACTCTGGAGTCATCCTTGACCCGCTCTGCCTCTCACACTCCATGTTCGATCCCATGGCTGATCTCTTGGGCAATGCCTTCAAAATATACCCAGAATCTGATCACTTTTTCCTTTAGTAATTTTTTAGAAAGATTGAGGTAAAATACACATAATGTAAAATTTGCCATCTTAACCATTTTTAAGTGTCTACTTCAGCAGTATTCAGTGCATTCCCATTGTGCAACCATCACCACTCTTTCCTTCTTGCTAAACTTGGAAACTCTGTACCTATTAAACATCTTGTTTACCCATGCATCTGTTGATGGACACAGGCTTCTCTCACCTTTTGGCTATTATGAATAATGCGCTATGGCCGGGCATGGTGGCTCACGCCTGTAATCCTAGCACTCTGGGAGGCCGAGGCATGTGGATTGCTCAAGGTCAGGAGTTCGAAACCAGCCTGAGCAAGAGCAAGACTCCGTCTCTCCTAAAAGTAGAAAGAAATTAATTGGCCAACTAACATATATATATATATATATATTAGTTGGCCAATTAATTTCTTTCTTTTTATAGTAGAGATGGGTCTCGCTCTTGCTCAGGCTGGTTTCGAACTGCTAACCTCGAGCAATCCGCCCGCCTCAGCCTCCCAGAGTGCTAGGATTACAGGCGTGAGCAACCTCGCCTGGCCTGCCTGGAATACTCTTCTCTGGATATGCTTAGCCATACATAGCTCCTTCTTTCAGGTCTTTGTTCAAAAGCCCCTTTCTTAGAGAGGCCTTTGGGCTTCCTTCTTTGCTCCCCCAGCCCCCATCCACTTTCTATCTTCTGTGTCCAGCCCTGTGGCTGGGGAACACGAGCCCTAGAGACCCCATCACACGAGCCCTAGAGACCCCATCACCTGGGCCTTCTCACCCTCAGGCTTCTTGGTAGGTTTGGTGAATGGGAGGTGCCACTAGGAGGCAAAGGGCGAGAGGAGACAGATGCTAGAGTATTTTTTCCCTTGCACCCTTCTTGTTCTGCAATGGCGGTGCTTGCCCCAACCACAGCTGCGTGGGGGAGGGTGCCCTTATCCTTGGACTTTCAGTAACACCATTTCCTCTCTTTGCACTTCGGTCCTCAAAGCAGTAATGCCATCTCACTCCTGCTTGTTTCTGGTGCCTCAACACCCCCGTTAGTTCCTGAATCCCACCTGTTCTTTTAGTCCTTCCCCTGCCATCCCCAACCAGTATGCAGTATGCGGTATGCAGTATGGGTATGTGGCCTGTTAGGAATGGGGCTGCACAGCAGGAGGTGAGCGGTGGGTGAGTGAGCAAAGCTTCATCTGTATTTGTAGCCGCTCCCCATCGCTCACATCACCAGCCGAGCCCCACCTCCTGTCAGATCAGCAGCAGCGTAAGATTCTGCATTGTGGTGAGTTGTAGAATTATTTCATTATATGTTACAATGTAATAACAATAGAAATAAAGTGCACAATAAATGTAACGCTCTTGAATCATCCTGAAACCACCCCCACCCCATCCTCCAGCCGGGTCCCTGGAAAAATAGTCTTCCATGAAACCAATCTCTGGTGCCAGAAAGATTGGGGACGGCTGCTCTAGTCCCTTCCTTTACAATTTCCAACCCCACCTCCTGCCCAGTGAATCTGCACTTCGCGGTCTGTCCTTGCTCTTCCACACGGCACACATGGCCAGCTCACGTATGATGTATTTACTTATTTCTCTTTACTTTCCTCTACCCTCCGCGTTCTGGGATGGCAAGTCCAGGGGTGCGGGGATGCCTGTCTGTTTTGTTCTCTGTTGCACCCTCAGTGCATGGCGCAGAGCAGGCCGCCAGCAAGTCTCTGTTAAATGAATGAACGCGTGAACGACCGACTGGAGGAGCTAAGAAGAAGGCAGCGGCGGGGTCCAAGTCGCAGGCGGAAGAGCTGACTCTCAATTTCTCCCCTCGCGTCTCCGCCCCCGCCTGGAACGCTGAGTGCCCGGGAAGGAGGCGGAAATGAGCGCGCTCAACAGCCCTCCAGCCGGTGTTTACTTAATTAGGGCCTGCAGCCCGGGGCTCGTTTGTGTGCAACCGTCCGCCTAATGGCTGCGTCTGGCTCCGAGCGGGCGGGGGACACCTGGAGGCGCCGGGCCACCCTGCCCCGCGTGGGGCCCGCGCCGCTCCGCCCCGCCGCAGCGCGGACACCGTGCTAACCTCCCGTCCGGCACGGAGAGCGCGCCCTGCGGGGTGGCGAGGCGGGGCGGCGCGGGGCTGCTCCTGCACCCCCAGCCCGGCTGCGGAGGGGCCCCCCACCCCGCCCGGTAACCGAGCGCTCCGCGATGCCTGCCGCCGACTGCTCGCTTTACCCTCAGCCGTGAAATTGAAGGATTACCACGTTTCTCGCTCTCTTAGTCGGGGGACGTGGGGGTGCCAGGGAGGAGAGAAACGGCTCTCCAGGCGGAGGCGGCCAAATGAGCCGGATCCGAGAGCAATAACACCAGGCAACGCTCGGGCACGTGCTCTGCGCCAGGTACTGAGTTGAGTGTTTTGAATGTGTGAATTTCTTTAATCCTCGCCTACATGTTCTAATTCATTTAATCCTAGTACTTTAGAGCAGCGGTCCCCAACCTTTTTGGCATCAGGGACCAGTTTCATAGAAGACATTTTTTCCACGGACAGGGGGCGGGGGAGGATAGTTTCAGGATGGTTCAAGCGCATTACATTTATTGTGCAGTCAAACCTCTCTGCTAATGGTGACCTGTATTTGCAGCCGCTCCCCAGCGCTAGCATCACCGCCGCAGCTCCACGGCAGATCGTCAGGCATTAGATTCTCATAGGAGGCGCAACCTAGATCCCCCGCATTTGCGGTATACAATGGGGTTGCTGCTCCTATGAGAATCTAATGCTGCCACTGATCTGGCAGGAGGCGGAGCTTATGCGGTGAAGCGAGCCATGAGCCGTGGGGAGCGGCTGTAAATACAGACGACGCTTCGAGCCCGCCCCCCACCTCCTGCTGTGTGGCCCAGTTCTTAAGAGGCCAGGGACGGGTACCAGTCTGCAGCTTGGGGACTGCACCTTTAGAGAGTGGGTGTCTTAATAACCCCAGATGACAGACACAGAACTGAGACCCAGAGGGGTTATTTCACTTGCCAGAGCCTTCAGCGCTAGTGAGTGGTGGGACTCGGATTTGAACGCAGAGCTGATGCTGGGCGTGAGAAAGACTCCCACGGGCACAGCTCAAGACCCCGCTGACGGGTAGGTTAACAAGTTAGCTTTTGAAGGCCAAAGAATCTATAATTTACAACTCTAGTCCCTCCCTCAACCCCCCGTAAATCTGAGTTGGGGAGGGTGAGGCAGAGGAGGTGGCATCCTGGGTTCTCCAGGCAGCAGGAGAAGGGACAAGGGAGTGGGACTGGCCCGGGAAGCTCGGCTCCATGGGGAAAGGGATGCAGGGTGGAGCGATTGGGTCTCAGGGCTGTTTCTGTGCGGGGCAGAGGGGGCGGGGGGGGGGGGGGGGGCTCTTGTGTGCTGCGAAGAGGAAAGCGCTTCACGTCCACAGTAGTGGGATGAGAGTAACGTAGAATAGAGGAAGGAATCCCAGCGCTGCGCTTGTCTCCCAGAAGGGTGTAGGAGAGCTGTTTTCCAAGGGAGAATCACTGAAGGCTGCTTTGCACAGCACGCAGTTTTTACTTTGATTGTATGCAGTATTTCAGACTAATAAAAGCAACTGCGTTTATAAAAATTGCCTTTGTTTACATAGTTGAGAGAGGGTTATTTACATTTGGGGGGAGGGGCGTTGGAGATTACGGGGCTAATAACCACCCCCTACCTCGCACCCTCTGGAGCCACTACCGCTTCCAAACTCTGGGAACTTCTCTCCTAACCTGTGAAAGGTCATGATTCTCAGGCAAGTTGTTTCAGATTCTGTAAGGCGGTCCCTCGGGACGTCACTGCCAGTATTCAACCCCGCATCCTCACCGCGGGCTGGTACGGGAGGTGGTGAAGGAGGCAGGGGGCGGCCCCCGCTGTCGCCGGGTGTGGGGTGGATCAAAGCTTTGGGGCAAGAGGGCGCCTCCGGGGAGCATGAATGAGGAGCCTCTGTTTTCAGTCGGGTTCAGATGCGTCTCCGTTTTTTCCCCCGCTTGTAGCTGCAAGGCAAACACGCATTTCTCCTCCCGACCTGCGGAGGCTGAGGACAGGGGTGGGGTTTTTCCCCTCGAACCCAGAACCCGCGAGAGAGGGCTGAGTCCCTGCGGGGAGCAGGTTCGGAAGAGCCCCGAGACCGCGGGCTGGCATGGGGGGGGGGACAGGAGGGGCTTCGCGGGTGCCTGCACCGCTCCAGCCGCGGCCCCACCTGCGAGGGGGCGGGACCTCGTGGCGCTGGACCAATCAGCACCTACCTGCGCTCACCTGGCCTCTTCCCGCTAGCGCCCGCGGGCCGCCGTGCTCAAAGGGGCGCGCAGAGCTTAGCGGAGCACGAGCCAGCCGTCGCGCCAGCTTCTTCGCTCCTCTCTCTCCAGCCATGGGGCTCCCCAGTGGGCCTCTCGCGTCCCTCCTCCTACTCCTCCAGGTACTCCACTGTCCACCCCTTGCCGGGTCGGGACTGCTCCCTGGAGGGCGGGCGGGGTCCGCACGCGGCGGTGGCGTCGGGGAGAGCGCGGGGCTGGGCTCCGCCAGGCCAGTGTAGTCCCAGTGGCCCCGTAAGGACTCCCCAGGACGGGGGTGTGCAGGGGCGGGCGCCCCTGTGACCCAGCCTCCCTCTTTCCCCCTCCGCCCTCAGGCGCAGGTTTGCTGGCTGTCGTGCGCGGCCTCCGAGCCGTGCCGGGAGGGCTTCGGGGAGGCTGAAGTGACCTTGGAAGCGGGAGGCGCGGAGCTGGAGCCCGGCCGGGCACTGGGGACAGGTAAGACCCTCCAGTAGCCGGCCCGGGTGAACCACGGGGCGGGGGCCGCACGTGGTCCGCTCCGTGTGGCCCGCGCGAGGGGTGTTCAGGCCAGGGCAGGGGACTTCTGGCGCCACCTCAGGTCCCCGGGAGGTGCAGAAAGCGTTTAAGGGGGCTGGGATGGGGGGCGATGGTTGACGGAGGAGAAGGCCCTATACCGTGGCGCCCTTTGACGTCTAGCCCCTCCCGCTGCTTACCTTGACCCCTTCCTTTGGGGTGCCGGGCAGCTGAGCCCCTCACCCAGCCCCGACGTAGGCAGCTCTCCCTGGCTGGCCCCTGCAGAGGAATGCGCGGTCCACATTCTTCCCCCAGCCCCCGCGCAGGTGTGGGGATGAGCCGTGCCCTGGGCAGCCCCCTTCGCCCCTCTCGGGCCCCTTTGTGAACCGTGCTTTGTGTCTCCGACAGACCGGGTCTGTTTCTCTTCTCCGCGCTCCCCTCCCCCGCCCCCCTTCTTCCCCGGCAGCTGGAATGCACTCTTAACCCTGCCCTTCCCGGAGGGCCTGCGCCCCTGCAGCCTGCCTGGAAACTGTGCTCTGGCACACCTGGTCTGGGGCCATCTCGTACGGGGGACACTCCTGCGCCCCCCGCCCCCCACCAGCGTCTTGGGACTGGGATGCTAGGTCACTCGGGGGCAGGGGGAGTGTCCCCAGCCGGCAGGCCTTGTGCGATGGGGGCGGTGGATGGGAGATCAAAGCACGTTTTTGATCTCCCAATTACTTCCCCCCAACCTCCCTCCCACCCCCAGTTCAAAAACTTGTGAGTGGAGGTCACTTTGGCGAGGAGAACCGATGTGTTATGAGACCCAGGCAGCTGCCAGCTGGTCGGGGCTCCTTCCCTTCAGGTAGAGAGGACAATGGGGGTTCCTCTGCAGGATCAAACCTAAGTTCTTGGTCAGGAGCGTAACCTGGGTTCGTGGTTGGAGTTCCAGAGGACCCTTAAACTGAAATTGTTTGAGAACTTGTGTGTGCGTTTTTCGGAGTGGGTGGGTAGGCTCTATACTTTACCGGGATTTCAAAACTCTGAGAACCCTTGCCACCGAGCATTTTTCTAACGCCTCCATCAGCATACCCTCACTCTGGGTACAAATTCCTACGGCTTGAATGCGGGATATCAATTCCTAGGGGACAGAATGGCTCTCCTTTGTGTCTCCAAAGGGGGCTTGGAGTCTGTGCAAGCCTTTTCTTTAAAAAAAAAAAATTATTTTCCCAAATAGCTCTGCAGATTGACAAAACAATTAACACCCAGGCTAGCGAGCTAGCCAGGCTCCTTAAACCCTTGGCTGTAGGGAGCCGAGGAGAAGGCATTAAGAGGCCATGCCTCATAAACTTTAAATTCTTGCGTATGGGTTTATTACTGGCTGGCTAACAAACTGCAACTCAGCCAACCTGTAAAAATGTTAACTCGGGCAGGGCCCCAAATCCAATTCCGGCTCCCTGAGGAAGCTTTATTGCTAACCAGACCTCTGCCAAATCTACCCTCCTCCCCCCCAACCCCATTGTCAAGTTCTCTGACTACAGGCTCCAAAAGCAGCCTGTGGCTTTGAGAGTTGTGCCTTATCTTTCTTACTGAAGCAAGAAATATCAGATTAGCTGTCACTTCACTAGGCTTGAGGCTGTTGGAGGGAAGCAGTGATCAGGTTTTCGATTTCATGGTCGGGTTGGCGAGTACTCCCCAATGACGTCAGGTATTTAAACCTTTTGAGGAAATTCAGCTTTCTCGGATGTCTGCTTTATGGTTGTGAAAAGGGTGGGTTCGCTCCAAGAGTACACCTGGGGTATAAAACAGAGTGGGTCGATGTGCTTCACTCACCTTGCAACATAACTGGTTCTTACAGTAGGTTTCCCCAGACGAGGGGCTGCTTTCTTTTTTAATTTTAAAAGCGAGTTTCTAGGCCCAGTTGGTCCCATTAAGGTGGGAGTCCCCAACAAAAAACATTGGTATTTCTTCTCTTGGTCTTCAGCTGCTCACACCTTTCTGCCTCCCCATACCTAGCCTAGTCCCCCATCTTCAAAACACAGGATTCAGCCATGTTGAAAGGGTTGTCCTGCGGGTACAAACTCTTAGGTCTGGCCAAGCAGACAGCAGTTTTCCTATTGCTAAGAAACAATTTGCCCTGTTATTTGCCCCCGGGTTATGAATATCAGGGGCGTCTATGAAGTCAAGCTCAAAGAAATTATCTGATGTAATTAATACCTTGTTTGTATGTGCATCTTCCTCTTCAAAGCCCTTCTACAACTCTGAGCTTGCTTTATCCTCCTGCCATTCCCTTGAAGCAGGTAAGGTAAATATTAAGCAATTTGAGCTCTTAATCTCAGAGTTGGAACTTCAGAAACCCCATCACCTAGTCCTGGCAGAGCTTTTAAAAGCAGAGAAACAGAGGCACAGCTTAATGGATCCAATTCACTAGGCTAAATAGCTCATGAACTTCTTTGAGGATCACAGACATGACTTTGACCTCTCGGTATATGCCCAGGACCTGGTACTTAATAGGATGCCCAGGAGGTATTTGGATGAATTATGACAACCTTGTGAAGGTTAGCCCTTTTGACAGATGAAACCTAAGAGGTGTGGCTTCACCAAAGTCATCATTGCAGTGACCAGCCAGAATTCGATTGGAAGTTTTTGACTCCCAAGTTCCATAGCATTTTTTGCTATCATGGCATTTTTTACTATCTACGTGTACACGGCAGTCTCCAACCTTTCTGGCACCAGGGACTGGTTTCACGGAAGACAATTTTTCCATGGACGGTGGGGGTGGGGGGCAGGGGGAAGTGATCGGGAACAGCTGTAAATACAGATGATGCTTTGATGCATGCCCACCATTCACCTCCTGCTGTACACACCCCCCCTTAGTTTCATGGAAGACAATTTTTCCATGGGGGACAGGGTGGAGCTCTGTGGCCTGGTCCCTAACAGGCCACAGACAGGTACCAGGCTGCAGCACTCAGGTTAGGGACCACACTGCCGCTGGGATACACCTTCCTTCAAGTGTGATCTGGAAGCAGATAATAGGTGGAAGGTGAGAACTTGCATAGTATTAGTATGATGACTAAAAGTGAGTGAGTCCAAAGTGAGTGAGTCCGGATGCTGTGGGTCACGCCTGTAATCCTAGCACTCTGGGAGGCCGAGGCCGGAGGATCGCTCAAGGTCAGGAGTTCGAAACCAGCCTGAGCAAGAGCAAGACCCTGTCTCTACTAAAAAAATAGAAATAAATTAATCAACCAACTAAAAATATATAGAAAAAATTAGCCATGCATGGTGGCGCATGCCTGTAGTCCCAGTTACTCGGGAGGCTGAGGCAGTAGGATCACTTGAGCCCAGGAGTTTGAGGTTGCTGTGAGCTAGGCTGATGCCACAGCTCTCAAGCCAGGGCAAAAGAGTAAGAGTCTGTCTCAAAAAAAAAAAAAAAAAAAATGAGTGGCCTATAGTGGCTTACCCATCCTTAATGGTAGATAATTAAGAGAGACAGCTTAATGGCAATAAAACCAATCCAGTATGTCACTGTGGCCTTCAGGTTCAGCTGAACGTTAGCTTTTTGGGTAAGATTAAAAACTAACCATTGTCAGCTTTGGGAGGAAACTTCAAAGTTCAGTAATGAATCTGAGCATGAGTTAACATCAAGATGGCTTTATTTCAGCTTTTAGCATAAAAATTGCCATTTATTTTGGAGCCCCTACTCCAGGCTACACCCTCTATTTACATTTCATTCTTTCAGTAAACATAGCATCTGCATGCCTCAGATACTGTTCTAGAATTGTTCTAGAATTGCAGCTAAAGCAATGAATCAAAGTCTTGGCCCTTGGGATGCTTACAGTCTAAGGTTAGTAATTTTTTATGCTTATGACTGCCTGGCAAAGCAGTTGGTGATAACTTCCACTTAGCTGTAAAAATGGGGTGAAGGAACTCAGTGAGCGGTCACTGGGGCGGTCAGCAGTAAGGCCAGGATTTAAACCCTGCTGTCTGCCTCTGCAGCCTAGGGGGATTCCACAGCCCCCAGTAAATCTGCCTCTGAGGAACAGATGGGAACTGGGGCTTTGAGCCTGGGAGCAGAAACTGGCCTGGCAGCAGAGACTCTGTCCTACGTTAGCTTGTGCCTGGGGATCAGGTCTCAAACCTCTAGTCTCCCTTCCCACCTCTGCGCATGGCACTCTGTTCCTAGGTTACCCAGTGCAGGTGCCCTTACCTCCCTTGCCAGGTAAGGAAGGCATCGCTCGTGATGAGCTGTGAGTTTCTAGGCCCAGAAACTACATAGCTCTGCAAAACATTGGAGGATGGTGGAGGAGAAGGAGGTGTGGTGGTTTTGCTCCTTGGGCCAGTCCTCTGTTCTTCTGCTGTTCCTAAAGAATAGAAAGTGTAGAGAAAAGCGCCAGTACGTGTGCAGCTCAATGAATACCACACGCCTAAAGCCCCCACGTACCCAGCACACAGATGCCCCTTCCCATTCTGATCTCTAATACCATAGGTTCATGTGCCTGCATTTGAACTTTATGTAACAGAATCTTAAGGTATAGCCTCTTGGATCTGGCTTCCTTCACTCCCCATTGTGAGATTCTTACATAATTCTAGGTGTAGTTGTACTTGACTCTCATTGTATGTGAGTCCATTATGTGACCGTCCACAGTTGTACTGTTGATGAGCATTTGAGTAGTTTCCATTTTTTGGCTATTGCAAATAGTGCTCTATAAACATTTTTGCACAAGTCTTTGGGTGAACCTATGTGCCCGTATCTGTTAGGTATATACCTGGAAGCACGATTGCTGGATTAATTGAGGACTGCTTGAGCATCGCAGTACAGGATTCTGTACTGAGAATCAGCCTTTCTCTGTCCGGAAGTAGCTGGGTCCCTTCTGGAATCTCATACCAGGACATTCCTTATCTCCTTTGCCAGACTCTCCTTCTGGCTTCTTGCTTCTCATCTGGCCCTTTGTTAAGAGACAGCAAGTCTTCATTATGTACTTGGTCACATCTTTTGTCTTGGGGGCAGAAAATCTACCCCCCTTCTCTTTGCTCTTAAGCTAATGCTTGCTTCTTTCTTCTTTTTACAAAGGACCCTGAATTTCTTAGGTGAGATGGTCTTTCTGGGTGAAGATTTTTTTTTTTTTGAGACAGAGTCTCGCTTTGTTGCCCAGGCTAGAGTGAGTGCCCTGGCGTCAGCCTAGCTCACAGCAACCTCAAACACTCTGGGCTCAAGCAATCCTGCTGCCTCAGCCTCCCGAGTAGCTGGGACTACAGGCATGCCCAGGCTAATTTTTTTCCATATATATATATTAGTTGGCCAATTATTTCTTTCTATTTATAGTAGAGAGGGGTCTCGCTCTTGGTCAGGCTGGTTTCAAACTCCTGACCTCGAGCAATCCACCCGCCTTGGCCTCCCAGTGTGCTAGGATTACAGGCCTGAGCCACCGCGCCTGGCCCTGGGTGAAGATTTTTATCCTGACCAGTATGTGGGTGGCAGCAGCCTCCTCATTTGACCAAATGAGCTGGTCAAATCCAGCTTCTACCTTATTATAGAAGTAGGTGTCATACATCAAGGCAACTTGAATGGTATTCAGCGCACAAATGTCGGAATACCTACTAGGCGCTAGATACTCCAGACGTAAGCAGCTCCTTAACTTCGATGAGCTCTCGATTAGAGGAGGAAGCAGGTCAGTTATCAGGGAATTTTAATAATGAATCCTT